GGGCTCGAACTCATGGACCGCGAGATCATGACCTGAGCTGAAGTCGGCCGCTTAACCGACTGAGCCACCCAGGCGCCCCCATTGTTACCATTTTTAAACAACTGTTCTCTGTTAGCTCAATTAAGAATAAGAAAAATTAAAACTTTATTTTATTTTCACTTATTCCTTCGTCAGTATTCCTTTATTCTTACGTAGATCTGAGTTTCTGATCTGTATTATTTTCCTTCTCTCTAAAGAACCTCATAACATTCCTTGTAAGGCAAGTCTACTGGCAACAAGTTTCTTCAGTTTTTGTTTGCCTGAGAAAGTCTTTATCTCTTTTGAAGGATTTTGGTTTTTTGTAGGGTACAGCATTCTAGGTTGGCAGGTTGTTTCTTTCACCACTTTAAATCTTTGACTCCACTGCCTTCTTGCTTGCATGATTTCCGAGAAGAGGGCAGATGTGATTCTTTGTCCCTCTGTAAGTCAGGAATTTTTCCTTTGGTCATTTTTCAGGACTTTTTCTTATCTTGGAGTTTTTATAGTTTGAAAAGGGTATGGTAGGTGTAGTGGGGGAGAGGGCGTGGCATTTATCCTGCTTGGTATTCTCAGAGTTTCCTGGGTCTGTGGTTTGGTGTCTAACATCAATATGGGTAAATTGTCAGTCATTACTATTTCATATAGCTCAGAGATTCTTTCTTCAGTCCTGTCCAGTCTAATAAGTCCCACAAAGGCATTCTTCATTTCTCTTAGTGTTTGTGATCTCTAGCATTTCTTTTTGGTTCCTTATTAGGATTTCTATCTCTTTGCTTGTATTGCTCATTTGTTCTTGCGTGCTATCCATTAGAGCTTTTAGCATATTATTCATAGTTGTTTTAAATTCCTAGTCTTCTCATTCCAAATCCCTGCTGTGTCTCGTTCTGGTGCTTGTTCTATCTCTTCAGATTGTTTTTGTCTTTTAGTATGTTTGGTAATTTTGTTCTTTATAGCTAGTAGCTGGACATGATGTACTGGGGAAAAGGAACTGCTGTAAATAGGTCTTTAGTATGTGGTGGTGAGGTATGGGGGGATGGGGAGCATTCTGTAGTCCTATGAATAGGTCTCAGTCTTTTAGAATGAGCCTATGCCTCTGGTCTGTGAACTCCACCAGTATTTCTCAGTTTTTTCTAATTTCTTAGTTGGGTTAGATGGTTAGAGTTGGCTATTTCCCCTCTCCTAGGTCAGATATGCTCTGATAATATCCCAGTAGGTAAGGCTCTGGTTAACTAGTTTCTCCTGAGGGCAGACCTTGGGAGTTTTCTGGCATAGTTCAGAAGTGGTTCCTTTCCCCTTCCACCTGCTGGAAGCATGCAGGGATTTTTCTGATATTTATCGGCTGAGCTCCGGGAGGTAAACTCCCAAAAGTGTGGGGCTTCACTATCAGCAGCTCCACCTCAGCACTCGTTTCTGCAGCAATTCTGCTCATGAGTTTGTTCTGGTGAGCTGTGACTCCCATTACTTTCCCATCTCTCCGGTATTGGGGGCGGTGGTTTGCACCGTGTCCTCCTCTGTCTTACAGATCTGAGCCAAATTGGTGCTATTTTTTCTATTCAGTTGTTTACTTGTTAGAACAGAGTGGCGTTTACTAAGTTCCTCACGTGTAGAACCAGAAACCAGAAGTTCGTGTTACTTTTGAAATTAAAATTTAAAAATATAAGGAAAGACCTAAGTTCAAATAATCAATAGGATGATTCAAATAATGCTCTTTATTACAACCATTTTGAAAAGCTACACTGCTAATAGGTTATGAAACTTTGGAATACACACTGTATGGTTTTATTAAAAATAAGAAATACATTCTCTGGTCACTTAAGTAGAAATTGTTTATATTTTAGATAACATTCAGTCATCCGGGCCTAGACATTCAGGGCAGAAGTATAGAATATGTACAACGGCAAATATCCAAGGAATGTGGAAGCCTAAAGTCCCAAAATAGGGTAAGTAATCTTAGCTTATCTCCTATTGTGGGATATAACTAATTAACACATAAGTGAAATTTTTTAGTCCTTTTAATTCTCCATGTAGCTGAATTATACTAGAAAATCTTTTGTGTGTTAATTTGCTACATGCATGTTTATAGAACACTATTACTTAAATTCCATCCAAATTTCTGGTTTGACTCTAGGAATTGCCACTGTGTATTTATCACTGGATAAAGCCAAGAGAAATTGTGTATTGTTAATTTAATGGACTGTATCCATCATTCCACCATTAGCCCAGACCTGGAGGGTTTTTTAGCCCCGGTTCCATATATCTTGAGAATGGAAGTTTGTCTCAACCTGAGTCAGGTGCTTACCTGTAGACGGTCACTGTGTCCAGGGACTGGGCATAGGCATAGGAGAAACAAATGTGACTACTAGAAGCCCACTTGTATAGATAAAGGAAAAGGTCATTTTGATTTAGACACCATTTGATTTATCCCCAGAAAGATTTAACCTGCTCCCTGGCCTCAGGAAGATAATCTACCCAGAAAGGAGGGTGGAGAAAGGAGGAGGAGAGAGTGAGAATAAGTAGGTGTGGGTGTCCTGTGTTTCAAGTGACTCGTATAACCAAGCTGTATACGTGTATGTCTTTGTATTCGTTTGCTAGGGCTATCATAACAAAATAGCAGACTGAGTGGCTTGAAAAACATACTGATTTTCTCGTAGTTCTGGAAACCGGAAGTCCAAAATGAAGATGTTGGCACATTTGGTTTCTTCCCAGCCTTCTCTTTCTGTACCTTTTGGCTGTGTCCTCACATGGTCTTTTGTACACCCACACATCTCTGGTGCCTCCTCTCCCTGTATGTCCAAATTTCCTTTCTTAGAAGGATACCAGTCAGATTGGATTAAGACCCACCTTAATTAAGGATCTATTTTAATGTAATCACCTTTTAAAGGCCCTGTATCCAAATGTAGTCACATTGTGAAGTACTGGGGGTTGAGGTCTCAGCATATGAATTTTGAGAGTGCACAAGTCAGCCCGTAACATTGCACACTCTGGTTCCTCACATTCATCCCATTACAACAGCCCAGAAGTCTGAACCCTTTGTAGCGTCAATTCTAAATCCTAGATCTTGTCTAAGTCAAGTGTGGGTGAGACTCAAGGTATGATTCGTCCTAAGGCAGAATTCCTCTCTACCTGTAAAACATGACACCTGTAAAACAAGACCCAAATACCTGCTTCCAAAATACCATGATGGAAAAGGCATACAATAGATACTTCTTTTGAAAAGTGGTAAATTTTAGAAAGAAGAAAGCAGTCATGAGTCCTAAGCAAGTCTAAAACCTGGCAGGGCAAATTCTGTGAGATTTTAAGGTTTGAAAATAATCCTCTTAGGCTTTGGCTCATTGCTTTTGACCTATGCGCCTACCACAGTGGTGACCCCATTTCCTTGGCAGTGTGTGATAAACTCATACCAAAGGCTCTAGGTTTTCTAGCCACTGCAACTGAGGAATTGCCTTTGCCATATGGAATTGAGGAGAGAGACTTACCTTTGGGGTCGTTCTTCCCTTTTTTTAAAGGATAACACATGTTTTCAGTTAGATAGCTGTATTTCCAGTCCTGTAAATCCTTGATGTCCAGTAGCCTTTCTTCATTTCATCCTACCTCTCTTCCCTTTAGTCCAACATGGCAGCATTTCAGTTGAGATGGTTGGTTGGATTTGGCAATCACACCCATAATCTCTTTATTATGTGATGGATCAGCATACCTTTGCATGCTTTCTAAATTTTTGCACTATCCATAGACTGAGAATTTTCTGACTCTTGAAGATCTGCCTCCTTTTTGCTTCAAAATTTCTATTTCAATTTATCCCTTTCCTCTTACATTTTGCTGTTAGCAGCAAGGAGTAACTAGTCACCTTCAGCACTTTGCTTAGGAATCTCTGCTAAATATCCAAGTCTATCACTTACAAGTTCTATATTCCATAAAACACTAACATACAATCCATCCACATTCTTCACCCAATTTGTAACATGGATCGCCTTTCCCCAGTGTCCAATAATGTGTTCTTCATTTCTGTCTGAGCCTTCACCAGAAGCATGTTTGACAGCCATATTTCAACCAACAGTCTGTTCAAGGCTTTTTGTAACATACACCTCAAAACTTTTAGCCTTTACCCATTACCCAGTTCCAAAGGCATTTCCACGTTTTTAGGTATTTGTTAACAACAACACTCCAATTCTTGGTACTAAAATTTATACGAGTCAGGGTTCTCCAGAGAAACGGAACCAACTAGTTGTGTTATGTATACACAGAGAGATTTATTTTAGGGAATTGGCTCATGCAATAGTGGAGGTACATATGCAGAATATGCAGGTAGGCTATCAGGCTTGAGACCCAGGAAAGAGTTGCAGTCCCCATCTAAAGGCAGAATTCTGCTAGCAGAATTCCATCTTGCTTGGGCGGGGCGAGGCAGGGGGAGGTGGTCAGCATTTATACTATTAAGGCCTTCAGCTAATTGGTGAGGTCTGCCTATGCCCTGGAAGATAATCTGTTTCCCTCATAGTCCACCAATTTATTTTTATTTAATTTTTTTTTTAATTTTGTTTTTCAACATTTATTTATTTTTTGGGACAGGGAGAGACAGAGCATGAACGGGTGAGGGGCAGAGAGAGAGGGAGACACAGAATCGGAAACAGACTCCAGGCTCTGAGCCATCAGCCCAGAGCCCAACGCGGGGCTCGAACTCACGGACCGCGAGATCGTGACCTGGCTGAAGTCGGACACTTAACCGACTGCGCCACCCAGGCGCCCCATAGTCCATCAATTTAAAGATTAATCTCATCCAAGAACCATAAACATCCAAAATAACGTTTGATCAAATATTTGGGCATGCAGCCTAGCCAAATTGACATATAAAATTAACCTTCACAGTTATTACTGCAGTTTTCATCTCTTTCCTTTTTAGGTCCCTTTGAAATCAATCCGACATGTCAGCTTTCAAGATGAGGATGAGATTGTCAGGATAAACCCTCGAGATATCTTAATACGTCGTTATGCAGACTACAGACATCCTGACATGTGGAAAAATGACTTAGAGAGAGATGATACTGATTCCAGTATTCAATTTTCTAAACCAGACAGTAAAAAATCAGACTATCTGTACTCTTGTGGGGATGAGACTAAGTTAAGTTCACTCAAAGACTCTGTGGTATTTAAGGCACAGCCTTCCTCATTAAAATTTAAGAAGTCAAAACGAAGAAAAGAAGATGGTGAACGTTCCCGCTGCGTATACTGCCAGGAAAGGTTTAATCATGAAGAAAATGGCAGGGGAAAATGTCAGGATGCTCCAGACCCTATTAAAAGATGCATATATCAAGTTAGTTGCATGCTCTGTGCAGAGAGCATGTTATATCATTGTATGTCAGACTCAGAGGGAGATTTTTCTGATCCCTGTTCATGTGACACTAGTGATGACAAGTTCTGCTTACGATGGTTAGCCCTAGTAGCTTTGTCTTTCATTGTACCATGTATGTGCTGCTATGTCCCTTTGAGAATGTGCCATCGTTGTGGTGAGGCGTGTGGGTGCTGTGGCGGGAAACATAAAGCTGCTGGATGAAAGGATCCAGTGCCAAAATGAGCTTAAAATCTTTGTTTCCAGGAATTAGCTAACTTGGATTTGTGGAAACTTTTGGCAAGCAATATGAAATCTTGCCTGGTAATCATTGGGGCCACACGTGGAGGAAGCAGAACTTGTCAGTTCTTGGCATTTCACAAATGCTAGCCATGCCTAACTTTTTCCCTTGAGTGCATGGCATGTTTTGTTACAGGTTGTAAAGAGTATCTGCAAAAGGAAACTATTTCTGGTTATTGGGTATAAAAAGTGAGCATAAAATATCCAACTAAAAGGGATTAATTTTTGGCATTTTTATATATTTATGCATTAGGTGATGGGACTTTTAAAGGTTTGAATTCATTAAGACATGAACTAAAAGTGCACTAGGGGACAGTTGATTTCAATCTAAGAAAAGTTAACACTTGGGAATTGTAAGAAGTAAAACAAGTACAACTAAATCATTTATTAGTTGTTTTTTGAAAGCAGTTTTATGTATAAATAACAAATGTTTATATTTAACTAAATATAAGGTACGAATTATCACATATTAAACTTTTCTTCCCCTTCCTAGTTCTGAAGTAGATGTACATATATCTACTGTCACATTCCATTATATTTTGAATATTTTACTCATCTAGTTAATAACGTTTTTATTCCATGTGAATGATTTGATATTTTCATCCTCATTTCCCTTGGCTACAGTTTATATTGAGTTATATCTGTACATTCTGGTAATCTAAAATCTTTAAAAATATTCTAATAGGCTTGAGTGACCAATTTTTTTTTAAAGCACAGATGTAATTGTCTAATGTTCTGATGGGAACGTAACACTTATTTTTATATAAAAAGAGACTGAGTAAACATTATAGAAAAAAGTGAGTTTTGGGATTGTTTTGTTTTGTTGTGGTATTCAACCAGCAAGTTGTTTTCTTTCAGAGTTTTCCTCCTTCAAAAAATCATATTGCATTTACAAATGTTTTACAAGGCAAAAAGTGTAACTGGATAGTTAATATAAAAGTTTCCTCCTGAGATCTCCACTTAACTCTGCTAAACTAGAATATGTTCAGCTGTGTTACTAATTTTTTAACTTAATTCTCATTGCTTATTATTTGCATAAGAGTAACTTTTCCCAGTTGCATTTTATTTTATTTAAACTGGCCTAAAAGCAAAATTATTATATGTTAAAGTATATACTGAACTATCCCAGGAAAGTATTTAATCCAACATTGTGAATGAAATATCTTGTACATATAATTTTATTTCTTTTGCAGAGCATTGTATTACTGGATGTTTTATTTACAAAGTAGTTGGATAAATGTTCCAACAAATTGTTTAAAGTGGTTGGGGTCAATTTGTCTGGGTTTTTTGGGTTTTGTTTTTGGTGGGGTTTTTTTGTTTGGTTTGGTTTCATTTCGTTTTTTTTTTTGTTTGTTTTTTTGGGTCTTTTTGGTCTTTTTAAGTGTTACATTAAAACTCTAACAAAGTAAAGGGTTCTTTAAGAACGTTCCCTTAGAGGGATAGAGTTGAGAAGTGTGCCTTTTTTTAATGGCTTGAAGTTTCAGAAGTGATAGAAATTAAAATCACACTACCATTTGAAGCTCATTTCTATGCAGGTTTTAAAATGTCATTTATGTATCATTCTTTTTACATATCACACTTAGGGTTGTGTTCACTCTCTTCTTTTGCCCCAGATCAAACTGAACAATGTATATAACACTATCTGTCTGTAAAATACTTTTTTTTAAGAAAGCATTTATATTTATATGACAGCTTGAACTGACAACATTGTGTATATAGATCATCTTGAAGTATTATTTCACATTGAAAAGAAGAAAAATATATTGATAACTATAGATGTTATGAAGAAGAGGTTATTTCTAGTTTTGTACTAAAAATCAATTGGATGAACTAAATCCAAAATATGACACTGTAGCAGCCGTTTTAAGACTTATTTTTACTGTTTATATATTTGAACACTGCTACACCAGATGATCTTCATCCCTGAAGTTTTCAGCTAAACTTGGTTTCCTAGAATAGACTGTTAACTTTCAAAATTACTTTTTATTGGTGAAATGGAAATACTCGTTTTCCTTGTGAATGAATTTTCATATTTGTAAGTGCTGAATTTATAATTCAGGTTTGAGCAAGGTGTGAATAACTGAAGAAAATAACTTGCTGGCTATATAGGAAAATGCTGTGGAAATGAACTGTGTATATACTTCTGGGAAGAACAATTTTAAACATTTCTTCTGTTAAGCACTAATCAGTATAGTGCAACTCCTGGTTCTGTACTGTATTTTATATGCAACATATATGCTTTAATATTTTAATGTCTGTGCATTAATATTTTCAACTTGTTTAACCACTTTGCTGCTAAGATTTCGCCATCCCATTCCCATTTTTTCCTTTACCATTTTAAACAAGTTTCTTCATTAAAAACTACGGTGATGAAATGGTTTTTATTTCCCCTTGGATTTTCATAGTTAACACACTCAGATTCCAAACTGGTCTAGAAAACTAACGAAATATAGTGCTATCTGAATCCCTATGTGGGAATATTCTCTTGAGTAAATTCTCATTATGTGGGGGGGTAAAAAGGATAGTCTGAGTTTCTCATTCTTGATGTGTATCGGTAAGTTCAGGAACATCTTCTCCTTCTGCCTACAGACCTGGTACTGCCAAATGGCTTTTCCTCGGAAACCTTTCTCTTTGAATCTGTTAGTAGAAGCAAATGGCTTCATAGAACAACTCAAGTAACAGTAAATACTGAAAATGAAATCATCTGGATGGCATAATAAGAAAGACTTTGGTCTGATGGCTTGTTGTGTTCAGAGTTGATAACTCTTAAATGATTTTTCTCCTGCCTTGACAGGAGAATCCTTTGATTTTTGAAGAAATAGGAGGTATGGGACTTCAGCACCACCTACTGGATGATTTATAGACCAGAGACCTGAGGTGGCAATCAGGATCTGACAGGGTTCATCACTACTACCAATAAAAAAGGGCTATTTAAGCAGTGGCCACCTCCAAAGGGAGAAAACAAGAGTAAGAATTAGCTCAAAGGAACTGTAAATCGAATCTTTCCTCTAATGTGTCTGGTTGGTCACTGAAAGATTTTAAGCACTTTTTTCTTACATAACCTGTCTTAAAATATTTATTGATATTCAGAACTGGCAATCAAACATAATGGATGTGCCGAAGCATTTGCAAAACCGATTCTTTTAACTTGCAAAAGCCATTACCAAAATGGTATTCTAATTTCCCTCCCATTACCAGTCAGGGGGAGTTTTTTTAAAGAAAATAATGAACGTCACCTGTATTTCATCATGATAACTTCAGAGAGTGTGTGTATGTCTCTGGGATGATGTTGGGACAGGGGTTAAAGTTTAGGGGGGAAAACTTGAAACTACCTATTTTCATTGGTTATTCAGCAGTGCCTAAAATGAACTTTTGAAGTAATATAAATGCACTTTCAACTCATGTGTATAGTGCCATCTGATATGTTGGGTAAGTCTTTCTTTTTCTTTTTTCTCCCCAACCCCTTGATTGAATGCCACAGAGATGTTTTCTAATATCCATGTAGGTCTTCAAAGTACAGGAAACACGTACTTTCCTCCAGATGGGCAATTCAAAGGCTGTTTCTTTTTTTTGAAATTTACTTAGACTTTGTGATTACACTTCGGAATATATGTGTAAGTTTGGGTTTTTAATTTTAGCCCAAAGATATATTAGGCAAGTGTAACATTTTTCTACATGTAACTTTGAAAACTTTATTTACCTAGAAAACAGATCCTTCACTAAATATTCTCATTCTTAATTTGACCTCCAGGTTCACATTTCTAAGGATAAAGGAAAGCACTAGAAACTTGCATTGTTGCACTTAAAAAAAAATTGGTCTATAAACCATGGTAATAATAGTACCATCAGGTGTTTTGCAGTGAGTCAAAACATTAAGAAACCACAACCTGAGGTGATTTATATAAACCAAAAAAAAAAAACCCACAAAAAACAAAAAAGGGCTTTAAGGTATTAAGGTACTGTTTGCCTAGCAGCCAGGTGGTTATAAAACTTTCATATGCTTTGATACACTGATGTTAGCCATTGTTCCTGAAAGCTCCTTAAATTGCATAAGTTGCTAGTTTTGAAACTTCTCAAGAATAATCTAGTTGAAAAACCTTTGTATTAAAGATACACATAGATTTTTGTGAACATTGCCGGTATGTAGTGTCATTGCTTTCTATTCTTGACCTCAAAAGTGCCTCACTTGTATATTACTTCCATTAAAAGCTTGACTGCATTCTTTCTAATAAGCAATGAAAACTTGTTTAACTCCTGTCATAATGTATCTCCTTAGATATAGTTGCTTAGCTTGATAGTTTGGATATATAATGTAAATATGCATATATAAGTTTGTAACTGTTTTTGTTACATCATACCCATGTAATTGGACATATCAGATGATATCATAAGAATTTGTTTTAATTACCTGATTAAACCTATCATGAAATACAAAAGGACTTTTTCTTACTCTTCCAGAGGATATCAAAGTATCACATAAGAGATCATAATTACTCAAAGAGAAAGCAATAGAAATGAGCTTTTTAAAAAAAAATAATTTTTAAGGTATATTTTTAACTGAAAACTCATGTATATAGTTCATCTTATTGACATTTATTCATCCTTGATTGTATCCAGATTTGTCATGGTCTGTTACCTATAAATAGGTAAACACAGTAAATATAAATATATTTATTGGTTTGGGAACATGTTACCACTAAATCTGGATGAAATGATAATCTAAGAGTGATACATGGGAAATTTTTAACCCAAAACTACTATTGCTTTATTGTGTGCCCTACTCGGTTTCAGAGTTTCATTTGTAATATAAACAAAATACTGATCTAGATTAAAAATTAGGACAGTACTCTACTCAAAAATCATAGCTTATTTCAACACCAGAATAACTTTTGGATTACTGTGTTACAGTTGTATTTGCTTGAAGA